TACACGGTTGCACTCTCTCTGCCTTACGGCAGCAGTATCAAACCACACATATTAAAATGCAGCCACATCCCAAAGTTCTCAAGTGCTTTATATAACTTTCCCTTTTAAATTGCTTGACCAGCAACTCATTTAATAGATGATTAACTATGATTCGCTGGCATCGTGTGAGCTTAGAAATGCTTATGAAGAAAAAATTCTCACCTACAGTTTTCTATGTTCTAACAATTAAGGTGGGAAGTATTTCGAGAATATTTCATTATTTTTGCTCTTTTCTTTGCATAATTTGGAGCTAGTTTTGTTTCCCTGTTGTTTTTTTGTTTGTTTTCTGCAAACATTTCCATTGGTGTTTCAAAGTTTACAGATCTTAGGCATGATGCCTTTAATTGCCTAACAGGTAAAATAGCAGAGGTCAAAACAGAAGAGTGTGCAGGAAGGTCCAGGAACCAAGCATATCAGCACTTAAAGTAGCCCGAGGTCGGTTGTCTCTAACTGATACTGGATCCCTACATGAAGCAAGCCAGGCACCATTTCAAGATATATGGTCCCCACCAATATCTTTCCTTAAAGACAAGAAAGCTTCAGCATGCCCAGCCATCCTCAGATGCAGCAGGAAGAGGCAGCTGCCCTACCATTTCCCTTCCTTGGGGACACCCTCTACTCCTAAGATGGACACGAGTTGCCCAATGGCCACCAGAGAGCCCAGCAGCAGTCCCTCTGCTCTCACAGCTGTGGTGACAGGGTACTCACAGAGTAGACACATGGAGTTGCCACGTGTATTATTGCTGGGCTGGTTCATTTTCCTTCATCTTTAAGTTGGCTTCTGATTTCTAGAAATTCACCTACTTTTCATCAATTTGAATATACGTTTCCAAAATCGAAGCAGAAAGTATTAAAATCAATATCAATATTTTTGGATGTAAAGCTCTTTAGAGGGTTAGGAAGGGGAGGGGGCACGGAAATAAAGAGTGTCCTGAGACCTCAAAGAGAACATCTCAATGTTTAAAAAAAATACTCATGCCACTAACCTTTCTGCCACCCCAAATAAACATGTAAGAATTGGGGATGGGTAGAAGGGCATCTTCCCGATTTTTCTGGCACTATCTCACACATATACCCCAATTACTCAGAGGAAACCCAAGTGAGGAAAAGTGAATTATTTAAGGTCATAAGGGCTGGTTAGAAGCGGAGCTGGGCCAGAAACCAAGCTGTGCCTCACTTACCCCTGAGATCACCATCACCTCTCTGCAGGCCCCCAGGAGGGTCTCAGCAGAGCAGGATGCACACCCAGAGCAACTAGCCTCAGGACCAGGAAGAAGGGTAAACACACTGACCTGGCCCATCAGCAGGTGCTGTCCCAGGCCCGTGCCTCAGGCTTGGGGTCAGACTGTCTGACAGGTATGGGCCAAATGTGACCAAGAAGTAAAGCAGACCCTCACAAAAGGCCAGCTTTTATTTGCTTAAAAGTAAAGGAATGATGTGGCTTGGCCTCCATGAGATGCCAAATATTGATAAATTGTTCCACTTTAAACGGCTTCTTAGAGGTAGCCAAAAAGAGTATGAAAGACCTGCTTGCCTACTGGCATTCCCATGAACTATTAGTCACTTCCCCAAACAGGCCAGCGTGGTCTGCACATGGGCACCCTAAGCACAGGCTACTACTTCTCACCCACTCTGGAGCCAGGTAAGGACAATGGAGGTCCAGGCTGGGCATACAGCCTGTGGTGGCTTTCCACTCATCACAGAGCGGCTAAAACTGCCCACGGGCACCTCCACAGGTCTCCAACAAAGTACCAGCAGGAAAACTCAATGGAATCCCACATTCTAATCTGTTCACCATGACCAAGGCCCCCAGTAAATCCATTTCTTCACCCAGCCTTGGTCCTCTCACCTCACTAGGTGAATCCCATGGGCACAGTCAAAACTGTGGTAATTCTTCATTTCCCTGGTGTTTCTTTTTCTCCATGTACCTTTGATTTTATGCACTTCTTCAAGCCTCCTCTACTCCCTCCTGCCTGCTTCCTTCCCTGCCTTTAGCATCCTCAGCTCTTCCCCTCAGTCACCATACAATTAGCTGCCAGCACTGGCCTCTCCTAGGAGCCTCCCAACACAAACAGCCTAACTGGAAATGATCACCTTGTGGTCTTTAGTTGTAGAATGTCAGTGAGAGGACAGGCCATGGTACAACTTAAGATGGGGGGGGGGAGGGGTTGTTGGGTCTGTAATCAGTGATGTCCTTCACCACTTTTTATCAGAAAAGATAAAACAAAAAAAACAAAACAAAACACAACCCCATGAGGTTTAGCTGCTCTATGAGGGTAATTTGGATTTCCGCAGAGCCTCCCGTCGCTTTCCCCATCAGCATGTCATGTTGCAATACCCTAGCTTCCTCCCACCCCTTCTCAACCGTCTTGATGAATACGGTAAAATAATCATGATGGAGGGGGCTGGTGTTTACATAGATATAGTTGGAGGGTGTTGAAAGGCCAAAGCGGAGCCTGGTAAATGACAGGAAGGCAAAGGCAATGCTTCTGCAATGATGCCAATAAGGTCATGCTTTAAAAAAAAAAAAAATCAGTTATCTCATTGAGTGGTATATTCCAGAGTGGCCTGTCTCTGTCGAGGGGAACAGACAAGCCAAGGCAGAAAACCAAGCCCCAAATGCTGGAATCTCTCACTGAACTGCCGCGGGGAAGCCAGACCAATCGGGGCTAAGCTAAGAACGAGGCAGAGACCAGGGGGCTGAGTGTCACTAAGCTGTACCAGCAACCTGCAGGGGACCGCTTCTTCCCAGGAAGTGCTGTTGCCTCTTTGGGGCATTTGAGAAAAACGGCTGGCAGTAGACTGTTTAAAGAAATGCTAAATTTGTCCTCTTTTTGGCAATACCATCACTACTGCCAGATGTTCCCACTCCAAAAGCAGCTGGGACAGATGGAAGGCTGGAAACCAACAGACCCTTCCGTATTTACAGCAGATAGGGGCACACGTTCCGTCTGCTGCCAATGACCTGCCCGGAGTCTACAGCCACCCTGAACTGACCAACAGGACCATCCCCACAGCTTGTTCTAAGGGATAGAAAGCTCCTGTAGGATAGTACTTGTCACGCAGCCCCTTAGTCCTGTATCCGCGCACGGGGAGATCCGGGTTCAAACGTCAGCAGCACTAAACGAGACTGCAGCATGTGTGGTATGCAAAATTCTCAGATGACCGAGATTCCCAGCCCCTGGCTATTCAAACACTAATCCAGGTACTACTGTGACCAGATGACCTTAAGATAGGGAGGTTATCCGGGTGGGACTGTGATATGAGTCATCTAAAAGCAATGTTGTCCTCAGCCGGTACAAGAGGAGGTCGGATTCAGAGCACATGAAGGATCTGAAGCAACAGGATTGGATGCACCACTGCTGGCTTGAAGACGGAGGGAAGCAAGTTATGAGAAATGCGTGCAGCCTCTAAGCTGAGAGTCATCCCCAGCCAGCCAGAAATGGACTCGGTCCTACAACCTGAATTCTGCTGGCTGAATGAACCGGAAGCGTATTCTTTACCAGATCCAGCACCGGCTGACACCCTGACATCAGCCTTGGGACCCTAAGCAGAGAACCCAGCCAAGCCCACCAGGACCTCTGACCTACACAACGGTGGATGATAAATGGGTTGTTTTAAGTTGCTAAGTTTGTGGTGTCTTGTTATGCAGCAACAGAAACAAATGCAGCATGGAAAGCTCTGGGCACATAGAGCGCACAGTTCAAAGTGGTCTGTCTGGCTGTCCTCAACGTTGGCCCTCCACCTCCACATCCACCCACACCCCAGTAATAGAGCAGACTTCCTCGGGCCCCTTCCACTGAAAAAGAAAAGGGTATCAAGGCGACTGGGCAGGCAAAGATTTTTCATACTCCAAAAGCCCACCCCAGAATACCATTTGGAATCCTAGTAGAATCAGATCTCCCCAACTTCTACCAACTCCAACCCCATACACACAACCCTGAGTGTTCCTGCACATTCTTGCTGGGGAGGTCTTTACCTGGACCCCTTCTCATAACTGTTCACAGCAAGCAGTCTGGAGGGATGAAGTAATGCCCACACCTGGAACAATAGCAGGTGGGCTACAGGGCGCAGAGCTCCCAAGCGCGCATGTGCCTTGGCTGTGATGCAGCCCACTGCGTGCACGGCGTCCTCCTGGGCCCCTCCACACCACCACTGTGGGACTTGGGAGACAGGAGAAACCAATACAAACATGAAGCTCATGCTGCTCACTGTGCTCTGAGTGACCAAGTTCTTCACCTCTGACCGAAGACTCTCAGGTTTTCCTTTAGCATCCATGAAACAGTAATAATCTAACTTAGTAGCTTATAAGTAAGCAAAATTCCAGACGCTGACACTATTACACTTAGACCTTTAAATTGGGAGAGGTAATATCTTTACATTATAAATTTCAAAGGAACAAAATATCCTTTTTTAATCTTGCCAAGAGAATAAAAATCTACATCACAGGGTTATTGAGAGAATAAAATAAGAAACATATAGCACACTTGAGATAGAGAAAATATCCAATAACTTTAATTGGAGGGTCCTGCCCTCCCTAGGCACTCATCCCCCTCTGCCCACCCCACACAATGAACCAGACAGGGAGCTGAATCTGTCTCCAAGATAACAGAGCCCATTCCGAAGACGAGGAAAGAAATGGTCTAATACACCATTCTTTGAAATTTGCGTAATACCGCACTACTCATAAAGAGTTTCCACCATTATTATCTCATTTAATCCCTATACAGAAACCAAGGTTCAAAAAGGTCAGTCCTTGAAGAAAGAACAAGAACAGATGCCACATGACAGGCACACAGGGACACAGGCTGAGGAAGCTCTGCTGAAAGGCAGCTGTGATGTTGGTCCGGTGGCATGACTGTGTCCTGAAGGCCTGTTCTTCAGGTAAGCCACGGGAGCTGTTTGTGACAGGGCCTCCTGAGGAATGTCAATACCACTGCAGAAATGCCAGAAACCACATGGTATAAGGAAGTCTTTTATTTGCATGTGCTGATTACTTTTAAATAGAAAACGAAGAAAGGCCTTAATATCAGGTGATCCTGTCCTGGAGGAATTTGGACTTGGTCCCTTTGGGTCCTTGGCAGCTTCTGCTTGGTCTGCAGGCGTTGAGGCCTCTTATCCTGTGACAGTATCACTTGAGGGTCTTGCTAAGGTTGGAGAAGCCAATGCCAACACAGGTCATCAGTATCTTATCCCCACCCTTACGTTCTTCACCACACGGCTTGGTTTCGATTTTAAACATAATCTGGAAAAAGCTCTTCAAATGCCGCAAAAATTCTATCCTAAAAAAAAAAAAAAGGGAGGGAATGAAAGAGGAATTTGATTTTTTTTT